AGCGCGTGAATCGCGTCGTTGAAGACGTTCTTCGCAGCGTCTGCGCTGAGACACCGAGGCGCTGGAGTGCCAAGCTGCCACTTGTAGAGTTTGCTCTGAACAATGCAGTGCATTCGTACACCGGATACACGCCGTTCTACGCGCACGGGCTCGTTCATCCTCACGTCCTGCTAGCGCCGCCATCCCATGGCTCAGGGCTTGGTGGTGGAGGACTAGCCGAGCGGCTAGCTGATGTCAGGCCTCCACTGTTCTTAAAGAAGTCAATGACTTACTGAGTGTCTTACGACTCGTTCGCGATGCGATGTGAAAGCCAAGACATGCAGAAAAAATATGCAGATGGAAGAAGCAGAAGAAACGTTAGAAACTTTGAGATCAAAGATATGGTCTTAATAAATGCTAAAACCCTTCCTACACATGCAGTCGCCGCTGTCTTAATGATGAAGCTCCGTCCACGGTTTATTAAACCGTTTTAGGTGTACGCTGAACCTTTCGAGAAGGATACACACCCACCCGGTATTTGATTTGAGTCGTAAAGGGATCCGGCGCAAGCTAACGCAAGAGCGTTAGCGCCGGGGCGGTCCCTACAGGCGCTCTATCGTCTAGAAGCTGGACCAGCAACTGGTTTTGAGCACGGAGTGCAACATTTCCATTTCCAACGGCGCCAGGCGCTCTATCGTCGAACGAATTGACGCATTTGTCTGCTAGACGGCTAGGAGCCGCCCCGACAGAGCGCGATAGTCTTCAACGTGAGGTAGTCGGTGCTCGAAATGCTCCAAGCTCTCTAGGCTTTCCACACAGCTCTATGCGACCTCAGCATGATGCTCAGCGGATTCTAGATCGCGACGGAACTTGCCTTCAAGAGCTTCAAGAGCATCGCGAGTCACCTGACGGCGATCGACGAAGACGTCATCGTCTGCTGCCGACTCTTCCTGATGAGAATGGTGGCGGCCACTATCATGTGGAAAGTCTAGTGGGTCGATGGTAGAACCTAGTATCTTGTGAAGTGGCGGGGATTCCGAGAACTCGTGGGAGTTTGAGGTGCCACTTCGGCAAGACTACTTAGACGTCGTGGACGCGTATGATCAGAGGAAAAATGACGTTCCGCGTCGTCGTACGCTTCGCACTTCTCGGCAGTTGCCAGGGCAGCCGAAGAGTCATGAGCTGAACACAAGCTGTGCCCTGAGCTGTTGTGGTGGCAGACTCATCTAAGTGAGAGACCACAGAGCTTGTGGGAGCGGGACGAATTTAACCAACGTCGCAGGGCGACAATACAAAGGAAGTCGGCGTTGTGCCTTGAGTTTGGCAAACTCGAACTGAAGATGGCGTTCCACGCACACGTCCACCTCCTTGTGGCTCCGCTGTAAACTGGACAGCGAGAAAAGTTTCCGATGCCGCTGCATCCTCCGCTTAAAGAGCTCTCTGCAGCAGTTTCACCCGGGGCGAGCGCCACAAGAATCGTCCGCATTGCGGGTACAGAAACGCCGTCTCATTAAGCGTGAAGTCGATCGCGTTACATATCCATTGGGATTTCTTGAGGTATTAAGAAGCGAGCTCGGAGAGCTTGATGTTGGTCAAGCTTAGCCTGTGAAGTGTCCGAGATGGGCGACCACGTAGACGCCCAACAATCAGGTGATCGCATCCTTTGCTTCCGAAGCGGGATCCGCCGAGCGGAAGCCGTATTCCACACGAGGGGTTGAACCGGCTGTGGATGTGCGGGTATAGCCGCCCTGTGGGCAGCCTCTAATTGCTGCCCCTGATCTTCGTCAAGGGGGTTGGTAATGACACCACTTCCCCCGAAAGTCGAGAGGTCGGGAAACGGACACGGTGTCTACAAGGTTCGAGCAGGGCTCACTTCGCGCCGATGGCGCACATCGCCCTCTTCTTCTTCTAATCCTGGGAATGGATCCGATTCGTAGTCAACCGCGCTTCCCTAGAAGCCGCGGACATGCTGCCCGAAGTTGCAATGCGTGCAGGGAAGAAGAAGGGATCTGCCCGCGGGCGCTCCCGGAATCAGCGAGGCTGGGTATCTTTTGTGTTATAGACACCGGACTGACTCATCGAGCAGAGAATACGAGAAGAAGGTCCTGGGGAGTTATAGGTGTCATATTTTCGCGAGCCTCGTACGAGGCGACAGTTAAATGTGAATTGTGGGTATCCACAATTGTGATGGGGGAGAGTAATGGAGTTACAAGCACCCTGTTATGAAGGGGTGGGTTACACAAAATGGTATGACCACACAATGGTAAGTTTAGAACTAAATAAGAAGCCACTACGTGGCGGGACTCCCAGTAGTTATGCATTTTAATAAGGTTTTCAGTATATAAAAACCTATAGATTTAGATATAGGCGGCTCTGCCGCAAATAAAACAAAAGAAGTGTACGTTTTGAACGAAAGAGTGTATTTGCCTTACGGTTAACCTTATGAGTATTCTTGAACTTAGCGAATTGCGATCCGCTACACTTATACTGGTTCTAGTATAGAACGTAAGGTCGGTGACCTTAGCTTAGCTTCCAAGAGCTACGGCGGCCCCGCTGCAGTAGTACTGGACAAATTATGCTCAATGGTACCCTCAGATACCGTGAACGGCTTTTAACTTGGAGTTTGCCTAGAAATTATTGCGCTTTGTCGCAGCAATCTGTTACACCGGAAACTAACATCAGTTCCGCCTGATTGTATGTCAATCAAGATGTTTTGACGTATCTAAGCTAAGAGAAGGTATCTAAGCTAAGAGAAGGTGTGTTTCTGTCATATTGGTTAAGGGTAGCCAATTAATTGATCAATGCAATCGAGTGCTATGCCGGTAGCTTTTCATCGGTAAGTCTTTTGTCGGTTCAAAAATACCTGGAGCTCTCAGGTCGTCATTGTTTTTCTCGCCGGCAAGTATTACTAATTTCACTTCAAGTTCTTATATCTGATCATGGAATCTGTTCAGGACGAGTACGAAATGCTGATGGGCAGCCTAGTTATCATAATCGTTTGAGTTCCTATAAACATAATTCGTGCTTTAAAAGGCATACTTCCTGTAATTGCGTTCCCAGACCGTTAGTCAGGAGCTTGTGTAGCCGCTGGCGATTTCTGAGCCTATTCACAGCACGTAATCTTTTCTAAAGCTTTGAGCGCAATTTGGCGACAACACGCGAATGTATTATTTAAAGTTACAGATTGAACAAGCCGGTGTAAGAAAAAGAGAAAAAAAGGTTCTCGATCTGGTGAAGCTTATGACCTCTCTAGCGCATCATGAAAGTTTAATTATACTTTGCGGCGTTGCTGGTATCCACGAACCTGATTGACCGCACTCTATTCTGAAAATTTTCTATCATTCCTGAGCGGCTGTTGGTCACGTTTGTCTCAAGGTTCTTGCTGTTGCCTGTAAAACGATACGACGAATTACTTGTACCTTGCGAGTTATCAATTATGGAGTTTGTGAGATTGTTGTAGTTCTGATTCTCGTAGACAATCACGTCGAAGTTCTTAGCTTCAGACTTAAACATCAGTAGCTCGGTGATCGAGTTCTGGTACTTTGAGTCCACTGCAGGCTCATCATCGGTGTAGCAGACACCGTACCCGCCCCCTGATCCAGCAATTCCCAAAAAGCATGCGCATCCAGCTTCCTCCACATAAACTTCTTGTACGGATTGCTGATTAGTAGTGACATTGTAATCCGTGTACGCCATATCCTTCGAGACGACATCGACACGTTCATCGAATGGCACGGCTGTCACACGGACATTCACGACAAGATCGCAGCCTTGTCCAAATTTGATACTACCGATCGTACCCGGCGCGGTGATTGGATTCGCGTCGGTGTATTGGACTCGCTTGCCAAAGCAGCGCTTTGACCCACCATAATTAGCTTGCTGGTAGAAGCAAACAAAGCAATCGTCTTTTGCCTGCGGCAGAATTCCGACCTTGCTGTTGAATTGGTTGTACCATGTCTGATCGCCGGACGATGATACTGATCCTAAACAAAGTGCAAGTGTGGTTGCTGCCAACGTCGAGATGGTTTGAACCATTTTGATTGATGAGACGAAGTAAGGAAAACTGAATATGATGCTTTGAAGCTAAGCAGATCGTGTTGCAAGTTTGCCGCATAGAGAACTTGAATTATGATGACTAATGTGCAGGTCTGGAATGATTCTGCAATATGTAGAGGCTTCGATCATGCTGTGTACGGATAAAATGTATGACACTAAGCTCAGCGACATGAGATGATACAATTTCTTTTATACCATCTGTCTGAACAGAGTTGCACCTGATTTAATAAATTACTTTTGTCTGGAGCTATACTGTCTTTTTAAGTTCTCATAGTGCTCAATCTCTGTCGGCGACACAGATGGAACCACTTGCGAAAGCGCTGAGATAAAATGCTTTTGACTGACAGGAACCTGCAGCTCCTCAGGCGTTAATTGGTTAAGCAAGCGACGAATTGTCATGGGGCTTAAAGAATAGCAATCTTCTGCGTTGATCTCCTCTAAATCAGAAAAAAAAAATCATGTCAAAACTGGTCAGAAGAACTGTCATGTGGAAAAAAAAATCGAACCGAGTTGCCGGTCAAGAGCCTTGACACGATCTTTAAGTGCAGCCGCAAGCGCACTGGAGCTGAGTGCATATAAATCAGCACCAGTAAAGTTCGAAGGGCATAGCTCCACCACAGCTTTGAAGTCAGTATCATTTGTTAGTGTAAACTTTCTGGTCTGTGCTTTTAAAATCTTGAGCTGAGCTGATTTATCGCTGCAAATGCCAAGATAGAGTAATCGGTCAAAGCGACCAGGGCGTAGTAGGCCCGATTCCAGCAGGTCTGGGCGGTTAGTAGCTCCAATTACAAATACTTGATCGTTTCCACCATTGCCAAGACCATCAATCTCGGTTAAAAGCTGCGAAACAACACGGTCCATGACACCGCCAGAGTCAGAACCACGCCCGCGCATCGGTGCTAGTGAATCTAGCTCATCAAAAAATAAAATGCAAGGCCGGCAGTTCCGAGCCATTGCAAACACCTGACGAACATTCCTCTCACTTTCACCAATGTACATGTTCAACAACTCAGGACCCTTCACACTTATAAAGTTAAGGTTGCACTCCGTTGCTATGGCCTTGGCAAGAAGCGTTTTACCTGTTCCGGGAGGTCCGTAAAGCAAAATACCAGAGCGCTGGCGAACCCCACTGGCAAAAAGCTCCGGATGCTTAATCGGTAACTGCACCACATCTAATATTTCATCTTTAACGTCTTCGAGACCGCCAACGTCGGTCCACTTTACATTCGGAATCGACGCATTACTGACACTGGTGTATGAAGCCTGATCTTGTTGTGTCTGGGCGGCTATTTTCATGTCTTCCGCTGATACAAAGTATGCGTGAAATCCAGATGTGTTCTTAGCTGAGACTAATTCATATAATGATGTGTCTTTGTCATCACCAAGAATTCGCTCAATCGCAAGACTTCCGGCATCTGCTAACATTGCTGTCAGATCGCCATACGTTCGACCCGCAGTCATTTGTGCGATTTCGGTCAAGTCTACATCTTCATGAAGCTCAATAGATTTTGTAATATGCCGTAAAAATTCAAGACGCTTATGCTGATCGGGTGCCTCCAGGTGCATTTCATAAAGAAAGCATTCTCGAATAAATTTTGGCACCTCATCGACGTCTTCGACGCACGCAATTAGAGGTATATTGTGCTGACTTTTACTTAATGTACCAATACACTCAGATAGAACAGCCCCAATTCGCAGCTCAGCCTCCTCATTATCCTTCTCGACTGGAAAGAAGTGGCTGATGTAGAGAATGCACGGTGATAACGATTGCACTTTTGAAATTTGTTCGCGCATATTTTCGAGCGTATGAAGGTCAGACTGCCCTTTGAGTTCAGTGAACGGAATTTCCACAGCAATAACTCCCAATCTTTTCGCCATTTGGTGAACAAGAGTTGTCTTACCGACACCTCGAGCACCACTTAACAGTATTGAAACCGGGATCGCACACACCTGTGCAGGGTAGAGCTTTTCATATAACTCTTGCTCGATATTCGACAGCAATGTCGAATTATATGCTGATGCGGAGCCAGTATATTTATTTTGCATACAAAACTGTTTTATGGTGGCTTCATCGGGCGACAAAGCAGATATTGATGGACCTTGTATAAGTTTTGTAGAGTCAGACACTGTCAGCGCCATTGCGTTTCTACTCTCGCCTTCCAATTTTTCAACTCGAAAAAACATGAGGCAAGTGTCCAGATCTAAAGTTGGTGGCATCAGTTCCATCACTGGTTCAGTGACATCACCACTTTGCGTTGCCATCCAAACAGCAGGCACTTCAATAGTTTTGTAGGGCACGTAGTGTTTTTTGTACCATTTGCTATCATTGGTGATACCTGACTGCGTCGTTTCTCGAAGAACTACGGCAAAAACATCCCCCAGTTGCATTACTTTAGGGATCGCAAAATAAGCGCGAATGGCATGAAGCAGTCCGTCTCGCTGTTTCAACAATGCGTGTTGACGGCACGAAAGACTTGAGATTAAAAGCGGGGAGATAATTGCGTTCGACGCTATAGCAGGGTACTCTTGAAGTTTACGCCGAAATGAAGGGAATGGTTGCACTCCAAGTCCTAATTCCTGTTGAGACGCAGCGCGGATGGACAGCTATGAAACATGATTGTAGCTCAAATCAGTTTTGATTCGCAATTCAAATGTTGACAACAGCAACATACCGATACTGTCAATCCACTGAAATCGGAAGATTGCACGTTGATTCCGAGATTAAATGCCAGAAGTGGCGACAGCACCAGGTCTCTGAAATTTGCGGTGTCTGGATTCACCTGTTCTTCATTAGCTTGAGAAATCTCGCAATTTGGCAGCAGACATAGTCTGGCAATATGGCTACGCTCTTCGAAGTGAAGTGTCACAAATGAATTGTGCACAATACGCAGGCGGCGCAGCAGCGAAACATCAGATGTCATTACGAGTGTGAGATTATCGTCAACTGCAGCGGCGTAAGATGACGAAATTGGATCGTGTATGCTCCAAACATGCGCACGTACCACATGCTGCTGCGGGGAACCGTCAGCAGCAAACGACGAGAGCCACATCGTTGATGACTTTCACTTGGTGTTTAATAGACAACTACATACTATGTGGGTCACATAATGACTTTTTTCCTCACCGATATGATCAATACAAACTTTCCATGAGCAAACCGACTGACAAGAAGATGAACAAGCCGACCGATAAAAAGATCAACAAGCCAACTCCAAAGGCAGCGTCACCCATGAAGGACGATAAGGTTCCAATGCTTGTAGTGGTGACGGAAGAGGACGATGAGTTTGAAGAGTTTGAGGATGCGGACTGGAATGGTCAGGCAGAGGAGAAGGACGCGCATATCAAGCAGCAGTGGCAGGACGACTGGGACGTGGACGAGGCTGACGACGACTTTTGCAACCAGCTTCGGAAGGAACTACAGAAGACAAGTTAGTTGTATGGTAAATAAACGATAAAATGCAACATGATGGATGAAGCGGGACTCATGGAACGAGAACACATGATACAGCTTTATTCAATAAAACCATACTAATCGCTGGCGCTTTGCAAGACCTAGAACCGCAGAGTTTATGTCAGTATTGATATGTAGCATATTTGTTGTCTCTGATGGTCTCTATAGGCTACCAGCAACCAGATTAAACTACACCGAAAAACTTAGCACACCCGCGAACTGCAGCAAACAGCGATCGATGCCATTTAGTTTACTTTTCATGCACCTTTGTCTTGAGATGTGCAGGCACATCAGGCTCGAATAAAGCGTCACGCTTCCACTCTGGCACATACTGCTTATACTGAGCAGCTTCATTTTCCTCCTCCTGGTCGAAAAAGTCTTCAGGTTTAACGTCAGCCAAATTGGAATCATGCGTACGAGAAGACCTTTTTGCCTCCCTAGCAGCTTGTAGAGCCTTGGCCTTGGCTGCCGGATTGAGCAAAAGCTGAGCCTCCTCTAGCGTCATGCGTGTATTCATTAGCTTGTCCAGTGGGTCGCGAACTTTAAAGGTTTGAAAGCGAATGACTGGAAAACAATTTTTCAATTTGGTCTCCACCTCCTTGAGCACAGCAGCCGACGTAGTGAATTGTTGCACGATAACTTTGCTTTCATAATGGCGCTGCAGTGCGCCCCACCGACGGTCTTCAATGCCGTAGCCCAACCGCTTTTCGCCACAATTCTCTGTCGAGCGAATAATACCTCCTTTTGATGTGATGATTGCCGCGCAATCTTGGAATACACGCGCCACATCCTTTGGCGGTGATTTCAGATTAGTTAGCACCACTTGCTTGTACAACGGCATAATTTCAAGGAATCCAATGGTTAAAAATGATTACTTTCCAAATTTACCAATGATTTTAATGCTAAATAAAATTTACTACAAATTACTATAATAGAACAGCTAAGGTTTACACTATGGGTTTGATAGCAAGCGATCAAGATATGCCTGAGCTGTATACAATAGGAATGTTGATAAGCGAGGGACCGCGTCTGATAGTTCAATGACTAGATTTTATAGAGAAGAGTACATGTGTGAAAGTGAATAGCAATGGTAACTAAGAAAATCATGATAAAGTGGCGTGACATGACAGGTAAAAACATTTAAAGATGTTGATAAGTGACAGATGATGAAGGTGCACACCGTAATTTCTAATTTGCATTGTAGCCTAATTTACAACAGAATTGCTGGTTTCAGGATAGACCTTAAGTCTCCAAAACAGTTCTGAAGCAGGAGACCAAGATACTTTATTTTTGTTATATATATACTTGTATTAAGCAACAATCATGCATACCAGCTTCTTCAAATTCTTTACTATAGAAATCAAACTTCCGACGTTCGAGCCAAATAATTTCACCATTGAATTACTTGAATCCTGAATGTCATCCTTTCGCGGTTAGTGCTGCAACTGCAGCTTCGACAAATTATATTCTTCATAAAGCATGTCGAGATTGTGGATCGTCAAATCAAGATTGAGTTCTGCTTCTCTTTGTTCATTCAAGTCGTAAACGGTCCCGGTTTCGACTACGACTTCGACTGTGACACAACTCGCGCTGTTTGTCTCTCAAATCTCAATCTGCTTCGTCTTTTCGAATCTGATCTGGATCTCGACAAAAGTCTGGACGGACGTTTAAGGCGCTCGCGGCAACGACTACTTCTTACTCTCTGTGTCCTTGTTTCGCTATTCCTGGACTGATTGATCTCCTCCTTGCTACTGCTTCCTCGTCGAAGATACCTCGAGCGACTATTTCTCGATCTTTCAATCCACTTCAAGTCGCTACTCTTGCTCGTCAGGTCATATTTACATTCTGATGCCCTTTGATGCATCATGTTTACCAAGGTTTTGCGGTTTTTAACCTGTTGGATGGTCGTGTCTGTCGAAAGCTTTCTGTCCTTTTCCCCGGCCATTTCAACGCGCACAGCCTTGCCAAAGATTATCATAGCCCGAGTCTCCTGACACGCACTGACTGCCCGCTGCGCAGCATCTGGACATTCAAAACGGACAAAGGCAAAACCTGGAGGCTACATGAAATCATCTAAGTCATTTTCAAATTAATAGATAAAGCCATTTGTATCAGTTACAGTACCCTGCGAGCGATCCAGACACTATGAATTGTCCCGAATTGAGAGAATTTGCTAGCTATGTGTGCTTCCTTGGCCTTGGGACATAAGTTTCCAACGTAAACACGGCAGGCGTCTTCTGTCGCCATCAGTGTCTGCTCTTCATCCTCCATTTATAAGGTTTAAATAATTTGCTTACCTAATTTTAGTCAAAACAATCTTTACGCATGGAGTGGGTACTAAAATCTGAGGATTGGCCATACGTCAATACATAGAGTTCATTATTGAGCATGGTAAAACAAGTATCCTAGGTATTAGCTTGTTGATCCATAACAAGTAAGGCAATATGCGGCTCAAGAATAAGAAGCGCTGATTACCTTGAGGCGCTCACATTATAAGGGAATGTACTTGTGAGAGATCTACAGCAACGACTCAACCAGACGCCGATGACTCACAACGAATTACTTGAGCAAAGCGTCCAGGGTTTTTGTGAAGAAAAACTCTTTTTTCGGGTGACAGGAGATAGAATGCTCACGATATCAATAAACTTTAGACGGAGCAATGGCGCGTCGCGCTAGCAGTCTCCATGGTAAGTGGCCGCGCGCATGAACGGCAACTCACGTTTAGTATTTGTGAACCAAAGACATTCTTGACATGGAAATTGTTAATGCAACATATGTCGCGGGTTGTAGCCCCTCCAAAGCAGGCGTAACGTGTGAACTTAGAGCTGAAGCAAAAATTGGCAGACTACGTCCAAGACTTAAGAACTCTCATCGCCAAATGGTGGTAGACTTTTTTTAAGGCAGTCAAAGTTACTATTCTCTTTAGGGACCTCGGTTCGGGAGTGGCTCGTACCGAGAACGTCCACATTGCCAGGATGGGGTGAGTGTCGCGAGGACAGGTTAGGGTAACGACTGAAGACAAGCGACTCTCCACACGTGTTGTCCTAGATCGTAGAGCGCGTCATAATGTTTCCTTAAATAATACTGTTCTGCAAGGCAATGACCCTAACAAGGGAGCAGTGCGACGTCGTATACGCTTTCTGTCGCGCAAGCACGAAGCAAAGTTGGTGAAGGAGAGTCAATCTCCCTATTTGGAGCCGACTTTATGTGTCAAAATGGCTAACAGCAAGAAGTGAAATGGGCATATTGCAAGATATTATGTACAGCTACAATCAAGCCGACCGAGAAGAAACCTCACATGGCTGGCTCTCGCAAATCTCTTGGTGTTAGTGACACGTCTATTCTCTAAAAGAAACTTGTTGTTTATTCGAAAGTAACATGAACCAATATTAAAGGGGGTGCTCTCTGCGCTACGCTAACTGTAATAGGGTTTCACGTGCTCTAGTATTGAGGATGTGGGTTACACAAATTGGTGTCGTTACACTTAAACAGCAAGTCAGTAAGTGGCTGGAACAGCCAGTAGTCATATATTTAATTAGGTCTTGCTGTATAGATAGGAAAACCATTAGATTTAAATTTAGGCGGCTTTGCCGCAGATCGAACCGAGAAATACACTTCACATCTTAAATGAAAGTGTTAATTTGCATTTTGTTAAGGTTGTAATTACTCTTGGAGTAAGTAGATTGCGATCCGCAACACTCGTACTGGTTCTCAGTATAAAATGAAGGTCACCGACCTTAACCAAGCTTCCTCTAAGCGAAAGAGCTACGGCAGCCCCGTTGCACTTGGTAGAACCCGTAGTAAATAGACACCTGAGTCGTAACGACTGACCCTCAATGAGGAAGAAGCAGTACTTTGTTTTCGACATGCAGCACGGGCTGAAAAAGCTGATATGTCTGCTTGGCCCTAAAGGCGTGCAACACCTCGATTCGCACGAAACTAAGGCAATCAGCGCGCGCCTATAGGCGTTTGCAAGCTATACAAATGCTGTGCTAAAGCACCTACAGCATAGGTGTTGGCGTCGACGGCGTACATGATGCCACGGGTTCGCTGGGCTGCCGTAGCTCTTTGCTTAGAGGAAGTTTTCTAAGGTCACCAACCTTACGTTCTATACTACTGTAGCCGCTAACTCCAAAAATTCCCAAAACCTAAATCCAAGGCAATGTGCACTTCTGTTCGAAATTAAACCTGTATTTATCTGTCTTATATGCGGCAGAGCCGCCTATTTCTAAAATTTGAGGGTTTTCCTATCAAATAGTAAAAACTATTGAATATGCATAAATACTGGCAGTCCCAACACGTAGTGGCTTCTAGTTATGGTGTAGCCAAGCCATTGTGTGACTGCACCGACTTGTATAACCCACACCTCTGTGAAGTCACACCATCTTGTGTGACCCACCCTTTTATACCAGGGTACGTGTAACCCCGTAACATCCTTCCCATCAAAATTGTGAATACCCAAAATTCACATTTAATTGTGCCTCGTACCAGGCTCGCGTCTCTGAGACATTTTGCCAATGTCTACTATTGTCGTGAACGAAGAGCTTGTGAGT